ATATCTGCACAACGTTGAGAATGACGAGAACCCATCTCAATAGGACCTCCACTAGTCGCTGCAGCAAATAAGTTCATCCATTTTCTCTTCTCCGGAGAATTTCAGAAGATTGCAGAGGTATCATCAGAATGACGCCTCTGTGAGTGACTAGCTCCTTTAGAAAAAGGTGGGCTGGGCTTGGAATTGATAAAAGAAACTAACATTTTATTTTTGGGCCCCCTCAATACCTTTCTCTTCAGGTTACTCATTATTGGTCCATAACTTGAATTGGCGATGAACTGTGGGCTAGGTTTGTTCTTAAAAGAAAGAGGCCCCCGACGAACAGCCCTCTGCAACTCCTGTGGGCCAGGGTGAGCAAGCAGCCCATTAGACAAGATAGGCCCGTAACCCGCTTCAGATCCGCGCTTAGGCCCATCAGAATCCGCAGCATTAAAGACTCCCTTAAAGCCTCGATCTCTGCCACGTGGTTGGTATCCGTTAGCGCGGATATTACGAGGGAACGTAAGGCGGTGACTAAGGGCTTGATTGATGGCCCCTCTACGCACTTCTGGCCCGTGAATAGGCAGTCGCCTCTTTCCTTCGACGCCATAGAAGATCTGTGCATTCCGGCGACTACCTCCAGTTGCAGCAGCTAGGATATGTGACTCCCCAACGCCATAGTAAGATTTCGAAAGGATACGAGGTGTTATTTCCTCTATCAAGTTGAACATATAAGCCACTCGTTGGTCCTCAACAAAAATGTACTCTGGCATCACTTTTCCGGCGGAAACATAGAGGAGAATTCGCTATCCACACGCCGAGACATCCGCCTCAACACCTCGGAATCCACCACATAAGTTCCCAATTGCTTCAAATAACTTGTTGCACCAGAGATGGAGAAGCAAACCAAACAGGATCACCCTTCGTATTACTCGTTCTTTTACAGCAGAACAGCCGGCGGCGAAGTACCAAATGTCGATGGATAATAAGGCGTCGCCCCATCTTTTCCTCCCTTCATCCAACACCCTTAAGGCCTCAGTCTCCAATGGAAACCTGAACAGGACTAGATCATCGGGTAAAGGAGACACTTTCACCCCACATGAAACCTTCCAAGTTTCGACGCCCACGCCTCAATCCCTTCAAGACACCCCACGGCTCTGTCGAAGCGACCTACTAGGTATGATCGCAGTACAAATTCACGCTCCTGGGGCAATTTTAAAAATTTTTGTGAGCTTGAATGCTATTGATAAAGAGTATAGCAATGATTTTGCTTCTATGGAAATTAAGAGTTGTATTGCATATCATGTCAAATTTGGGTGAATTATTGTTCATGTACGATTGATTGGTATTTTTGGGTAGTTTTGAATTTTTAATTCAGGTTTTTGGCATATGTGGTCCACATCATTATTCAGTTTAGCTATTGATAAGGGTAATTAATCTCTAGTGTACTTCACTTCTCACATATGCACGCTAGTATCTTTTGTGGGGTATAAGCCTAACCTTGTGTAATATATTTCATGTGTCAATTACGAGTTAGTACCTTGAAAAGTGGATGTCCTAGGCATAATGATAGAAAAAGATGCATAATTAGTTATCGCCTTTCACCAAGTAACCAAGCCTCTTGCCTCAGTAAGCAGTGAGTGTTTGCGTCAAAAATTGGAGGGTTAGGAAAAAATAAAAGAGTTGGTAATGCTAGTTTAGGTTCAAAGCCTAGTTGACTTGAGTTAATAAGCTCTTTGGGTGTCTTTACACCTAATGCCCTAAACCCACCTAGTTTTGGAGCCACTGGCTTAAACCTCGCTACATGGGCCATCTAGAGAGCTTAAAGGACTTGAACATTGCATAGCTTGCCATCTTTGAAAAAAAAATTTGAAAAATGAAACAAATTTGCATGCATAAGTATAGTCATGAATTCATGTTTTGGGTACTCTAACTTGGAAAGGAATATTAATGAGTTGAAACTATTGTGATGTGTAATATAAGAATAAAAGGGTAAAACACATAATTGGATGCTAGTTCACTTCTAAAGGAAGCGAGTGATCACTATTGGGAATATGTTGAATTGAACTTCGTGTGGGGACCATAGTGTTAGTTCGTGTAATTGAAGGTTTGGGATTGCTTGGGAATATTAATTTTTCTTATACTTGACATGATAGCTAACTTGATAATGATGTATATGCAATCTTTTCTGATTCCATAGAAGTAATTGTACTAAGTGCAAATTTGTGCACAATTTTGGATGTTTATGGGTATCATCTCTGGAAACCCTGATGAAACTACAACTCGTCCACTAGGGGTTTAAAGGCTTGTTGCATATGCTAAATGCAATCGTTTCTCCCACAAAAGAAGAAGTTATCTTACTTGCTTTATTTTAATTTTTGTTGTATATTGCTAAGGGACTGGCAGTATGTAAGTTTAGGGGTGTGATAAGTGCTGAATGTTGCACATTCGAGCCCTTAGATTTGCACATTTTAATACCTTAGTAATGTTTATTTCATATTACTTATGATATTTTCTTAATTTTTGTTATTTTTAAGTAATCTCAAAAAATTCAGTCAATTCCGTTGCTCAAGTCCAATCGACGGATGGAGACCGCAAAAGCTAGAGTATCCAAGGTGAACCAATGGCTAAGATCATTCAAGGATAATTCGTTCTGGGTCATTGTATGAAGAAAATATAGCTTTCCTATTCCAACAAGGAAACAACTTGAGCAGAAAATACTGGACCCACTTCACTATTTTGGGCATAACTTTTTACCCGAAACTCGGAATTGGGCAAACTCATCGGCTCTGGAAAGAAGACTCAAAGCCCGCTGTTTTTGTGTCTAATAGCAATTTCGAGATTCGTAATGCAAACAGGTCAAAACAGCGTTACAAACTGACGAAAATTTAAAAGATTGTTTGGGCTTTTTTCTTTTGCTGGGCCTTTTCTATTTCCCTTCTCTAGGAGGAAAGCCTACAATATGATATAAAAGGGAAATGTCCAGCAGAAAAAGGGAAAAAAAGACACAAAAGATTATATTGGCGGCTTTAAGCAATATTCCATTGTTGAAGCTTGAAGAAGGTGATCCTGGTCAAAGTTGCAATCCATGTAGATGGCGTTCATCGCACCATTGAAGATTTCTACCTTCTCCGTGAGTAGCTAAATCATCTCTTAGGGAATTGATGTAACCCTAGCCAAGTAACATGATTTAATTATTTGTATTTTTGGGGATTTTTATATACATGTGTATTGAGTGCATAATTGTAAGAATTGCATTAGTTGCACTAATGTAATTGGATTTTTAAAGTTTATAATCAATTTCAATGGAATTCTTTTCTTGTCTTAGAAATTAATTGTGTTTTAATTGAACCCAAATCATTCCTATTTTCTGTGATTATTTGAATGATAATTATGCAATGGTTTTAATTGCTTGCACAAATAAGTATTTTGATAGTTCATGCTTAAGGAAGACGGGTTGTACTACACTTTAGATTAGAGTAGTTAGGTAGACCATTCGTGCAAACCGAAGATGAGCTATACTTAATAATTGATTGTGTAAATCTTCTTGACGAGATCATTGTGTGCTTGTAGCTACATGACTCATAAAATACACATGATGATAATTTTCCTAAATTTATGATAATTGACCATGATTATGAGGCTAGTGGTGAAATCAATCCCCCAAGTCCCTTTCTCTTGGAAAACTCTTACCATTTCATTTAGTTTTAGTATTACTTTTGGTTTCAGCAATTTAGAAATAGCAAAATCACAAAATCATCTCTCGGTTGAATTAAATTAGGATTAATTTTACATTTAACAATTCCATCATAGTCCTTGAAGTTCGACACCCTCAATATAGCCCTATCCTACAAGGATTCATACTATTGCGGGTGGTTTTATCATTGAAGAAAACACACATCAACGAGGCAGGTTGTGGTTATCTCAACCCCACCACAAACTCAGACTCAGGTGGTTATTATTATGTACACCCCACTCCTCCCTTGAAGTTTGGTAACTGCCTGTATTAGGATGAGACGGGTGGATAACCTATATGTCAAGTCAAACTGGCTTTCTACAAATGCCTAATGGAAGAGTATGTAAAATATGAACCAGCCAAGATTAATTCATGGTCGTGGTATCGCTGTCAAACAATCTACATTTAAGGAAACATTTTTTTTTTATGAGTAGAGATGTAGGAATAGAAAGCGTTCAAACGGGCAAAAGCTACACAAGGCCTAATAGGGTCCTAAACTCTCAGAGAGTCCAACCACCTATCTCCCCCATAGATTTACAATTTCTCCTATAACATTCAATTCATAAGCACCTCCAAACACACAAGGGCGGTGCCCTTCAAAAATCACGAGCTTGGGCACCCACTATACGCCCTCACAATGCCACTGGGCAGTGCAACAAAAGATGATCAATAGTCTCATCTCTCTTACACATGCAGCACCAATTGATGACCAGCGTTAGGATCCTCCCCAAAACAGCAGTCCACACAAAAAAGAACTACCTTAAGGAGGACCTTGGAACGCCAAACAACCTTCCACGAGAACACGGGTCCTAGATCCGGACATTAAAGCATCCCGTAGATGAGGGAACCCAAATCCGGGAATCCAATCCACTGCCCATGACCTAGAACCTCTAAGAGCGCAAGAACATCCTCCAACTCCCAATCCTGAAAATGCCTCAAGAATCAAACATCCCAAATCGTCCTTCCGCTATCGAGCCGATAGCAGTCGGCAACCATGGCGTGTCTATCCGATGCTATCCTAAAAAGTCTAGGATAAGAGCGAGCCAAAGGACGGTCACCACACTCACCACACCAAATATCATTAAGGAAACAATCATTGTGAAATAAATCATGTGCAAGAATTACATTTTATGCAGAAGAATTGTAAGAATAATTTAAATTATTAACATTTCAAATTTTAGAATTTTTTTCCAACATCTGACCATGACATATTAAGAAGCAAAAGAGTAAAGTGCAATATTCCAAATTATGGCAAAAGAAACTAAATTTCTACCAAAAATCTTACCGCCATCAATGTCGATTCCAAGGATGCTCTGGCAAAAAAACTTTTCCGCTGTACATGGAAAAAAGAAAAAGAAAGAAAAAGGGGAAACTACAATTAGTGTCATATGAAAAATGTGCCAAGACCCGCGAATTTCCCACAACGCACAAAAGTTAGGTGAAATTGATTCACGAAAATAAACATAATAGAAGTGGAACAAATAATAATGTTAACAACAACAATAATAGCAACTTGTGATATGTGCTTTAAACATTTTTTAAGTTTCCAAACAATAGTTCAAATGTCATACAATTTTTATAAAAAATTAATAATTGGTCTCATCACTCCATTTCCAAATCTTATGACATATATTTTATTCGTTGCAAGTGAGGAAGAAGGGGAAAAAAAGGAATTATTAATTTCGTTGCATCATATCTTCTTGTCATTACCAATAACAAAGAAAAATATGTCAATAGCAAGGTCATACCTTCTCTTGCTATTCACATTATACAATCAAAATTGATTTGCAAGAACTAGAGTGAAGTACACCATAACATTTAGATATCTAAAGAATTTTGAAGAATCCTTATAATGCAACAATTGCAAAAAGGCATCCAAAAGCTGTTTCCACAACAAAGAAATTTATAAGGGAGATTAAGTTTATAACGAGGCTTGATCAAAATAAAATAAAATAAATTTGGTATTGCTGAATTTGGGACGCAAACATACTGCATGCACAACCTCTCACGTACAACATTGGGAAGAAAAAATAAAAGTTCCCTGTTCAAGTGAAATTTCTGTACTTAATGGTTTAAGAAGGCATAATCTGATTTCAGTTAAAGAGGGAGAGACAGAGAACTGATACTGAATTTTTACAATCTATACTGTTTTGCCCTTTTGCTTTCTATAATGATATTCTCCATAGGATTTCATTTCCTGTATTTCATTATCAATTTCCATAGGATTTCATTTTTATCATTGCAATATCAGACCAGTGTGATTTTAATTTTGCCCTCTTAATTTAGGGGAAATTTTTATACTAGAACAAAACTAAGGATAGACGATGAAGCATAATAAATGAGAATGAAAGATGCAACTCTATTAGTGAAATCAACACTCCACTCAATAATTAATTACCAATAGCGATTGTTATCGATCCATTATTGCATCCAATGTCTAGACAATCCTTGCCTTCAAAAAATTCCTTTCTAAAAACCTTTAACCTAGGATCTTCCTTCAAGTCCTGACCAACCTGAAATTTCAAGACACCAGTAAAAATTAATCCCCCATAAAATTAACACATACTTAGAAAAAGAAATTTGAAGTTAAGTGAGTTCTGAATGCGAAGGACGAATTTATATATATATATATATATATATATATAACTCAGTTCCAACATGGAAAAAAATACACCAATCCCAAATTATGTCAAAATTTATCCTGAAGATTTACTTACAAACTTAGACAAGTATCCAAAAACACTTTTATACACATGAACAAATATACTAATATATATTAGATATTTTCAGAAAGGAGTAGGAGAAGAAAAACTTACACGATAACCATAGTAGTTTCTGTAATTGCCGAAAATAGCGACCTCTTTTCGTTTTCTCTTCTGAACTGATCGTTGACTTGTCGATTCGTGCTCTCCGTTGTTGTTCTTGTTGTTGTCTCCATCGTCGTACATTTTAGGGGCTTCAGTTTCTTTTATCCTACTGACAATTAAAGCTTGATGAGTGAAAAAAAAGCTCACAAGTGTATGTGAGAGAGGATGAAAGGGTTTATTGAATGAGGCATTAGGGTTTAGAAGCTTCGTGGGCCTTTGTATTCTCTGATGTGAATGCGTTCCGAAACAAACTTATAGGGAAACCGTTCTGTTAAGTTTTCAACAAACAGTGAAAATAAATAAATAATAAAATAATAAATTCAACAAATAGAGAAAATTAAAATAATGCAAAAATTAAAATAAAATAAAAAATTTGCCTGATAACTTTTTCTTTTTTTTAAAATATTTATACGGAGTAAATGATTTTTCTTCAAAAACAAATAGTTCTCTTTTCATATTGGTCCTTATTTTTTCGGTAAATTATACCGACTCCCTCAAGGTTTTGTTAATATTCATTAATCTCCTGTTTTGCTTGTCAAATTACACTTAGTTTCCCATTAGACTTGTCGGGTTTGTAATTACATTTCTGCCCTCATATGTATTGTATTTTCTTACAATAAACATGTCTTCCAAGGATACAATTGAAATTTGAAAATAAAATTTCCTAACATTAGCATTTTTTGTATTAACGAATAAGAGATATGTATTATTTACATACAAATATTTACGAAGATAAGTGTAATTTGAGAGATGAAGGGAAGTCAATGTATATTAACAAAATTTTAAGGTATGTCAGTGTAATTTATCTTCTCTTTTTTTAGCATTGGAGGAGGTGGAAGAAAAATAATAGATAAAAGGTAAGACAGCTATAGCGTATTTAATACGGAGTACTGTATAATTTAAAAATATCAAGAGAAAATGAACAAAAAATAGAGACATGAATGGTGATATTTATTTTTTCGACTAGTATTAAATAAATCATAATCTCCTATGATAAAAGATTCAATAAATTATCTTCTTTTTTTTATTTTTTTTTTTGCTTGCAATATTTGCACTAATGTTTGTTTGGTAGAAAGGAAGGAAGAAGGGTGGAGGAAAGATAAAGAAGAAGAAATAATTTTCCTACATTTGGTAGAGAGAAGGCAAGGAGAGGAGAACAATTCCATCACATATTCTCATCCCTCCAAATATGAATACAAGGCAAGAAGGAAGAATGGCAAGGTTATTATAAAAGTTTTTAAATTAGTTTTTAAATTATAAACTTTCCTTATAATTAACATTCTCTCTTCCCTGATCTCCTAACAAACAAAATAAGATATTATCTCATTCTTTTTTCTTACATCAAACCAAAGAAAAAGAGGAAATGATATAATATCTTTCCTAGAAATATTTCATTCCTGGCCAAGCGGTACCAAGCCCCTACCTCCCAAAGGAAAGTCGGGGGTTCAAGAGACATGTGTGTGTGAGTACCAATTAAGAAAAAGAATTGTCTCATTCATCTCCTCTTCTCTCCCTTCTCTCTCTCCATATAATTTATAATAAGAAGCAAATTAGGCCCTCCTCCAATAAACTTTGCCCTAAAATATGGTCCAATGATCGATCAAATTTTGCTACATTGTTTTTAACTCTTCTCTTCAAGATTTTCCCAACAGCTTTGAGTTATCCAATATATTTCGCAAGTGCTTAACAATTACTTGACCTAAAATTCGACTGCAAGAGAATTTGGTACATTAGCAAAAAAATTCAACAGAATTCAGGTGAAAATTTGTCGAAAGATAGATATTCAGATGTAAAAAGATAGATATTCAGACGTAAAAAGAGAGATATTCAGATGTAGAAACAACTAGACACTGTTTTCTGGCAACCAAAATACAGCCATGAAGAGAATGAGAGCCTATATGTTTCTCCAAACGGCCTCTTAAACTGCAATCTCCTACGATGACAATACCTTATCATTAAAATCTATACCTGTAGATCAATGTATGGTTTCTTGCCCCAAATAAGAACAAATTACTATAAAAAATTAATGTAGAAAATGCATACAACATGGAAAAGGTTCCCTGTAGCTAGTTAAACCTTTTTTTCATTTCTTTTGCTTTAGGATGTCATTGTTGGGAAGAAATGTTTCCATGGAAACAAATGGAGCAAGAAAATAAATAAATAAACAGATAAATACATCTCAGCCTTTCTACAATGCAGTCCAGCTATGACAAGAAGCTTATTACGCTGGTTACTGCAATAGTCATTGTACTTTTATCTACAAAAATGGGATTTAGTACATTCTCTGATGAGGACTACTCGAAATAATCGGATTGATCACCAATGAAGCTTTAATTGATCAACCGTCAAAAGTCTCTGCGCAGGCTCCATTGTTGCAAGCTTGGTATCAATGACTTTCCAAAATTCACTCCAACTCCTTCAGGAAATCAATATTATCAACAAAAACCTGCAGGAATTGAAAATGAGAATATACCAAATCAGTGGATCATACAAGTATGGCCATTCGAAATCAAAAACTGCTTAAGTCGATATAAATTTAGAACACAAATTCTTAGATCACAAAGTGCATTTGGTACCAACAACTTTTGCATCTTTGACTGGCACTGACCAACTGTGACAGTGTCAATAGTAGCACACTATTTTATGCCTATATTACTGCCATAAGACATGGTTTTCGTTAGTCCTAAACTAAATCATATCTCCATAGTTGCTACTGAATGCAAAGATGGTCCATAGAACTTGCACCAAACCACATCACAGCAGTAACCCCCAGTATTCCGGACAAACAACCCCTTGCCTTGATACAATATTTTTTTATCAAAGATTGCATTTGCAAATTGCAATATGCCAATATAGTGCCGTTTCTATAGCCAACAACTATTAGCAGTTGAGCTGGTCACCTGCCTTGACTTATTATATTATGGAACACAATAAACCAATAACAACACACAGGGAACCGTTTGCTTCTAGACCTCCTGTTTACCATAGAAAAAGAACCAACTCATAAGCCAGTCTTGCCATGAAGATTGTTTCTCAAGCTTGCAGTAAAACAGAATCTAGTGCAATTTATAAATCACTACAGGCAGAAGAAAAAAAAAAAAAACCTTCCCTTTATAAATCAGGATAAAATCCTGCAACTGTTTTATGTGGAAGTATAAGAATATATATATATATATATATATATAAATATATATATATATATATATATATTTATATATATATATATTTATATATTTAGGGATTCAATCCCACATAGTTCTCCATGGTTGGTAGTACTTGTCCCCCAAAAGCAATTTCGCAAGCCAAGTTAAAGATTCATATGGTTGGTTTCACAAGCCCAGGCCACAGTTATCTTCAGCACATATGTGATGCAACTTCCCTTTACAAGGGAGTTTAGGTTTTCACCAATGTTTTCAACCCCAATGTTACCAAGACAGTTTAACAAAGTTGTGCCAGATCCAATGCTCTTTCTTTGGATCGGGTGATTCAATCCAAAATCAGTAAGACCCAAAAAATATACACAGTTAATTGGTTGATCCAACTGGACAGTTTGATCATAGAATTATATGACTTAAAAACAACAAAATTATGAGGATCATTGGTTGATCAAACGGGTCACCCAGTTTGATCGAAGAGTTATATGATTTTAACATTCAAAATTTATGAGGATTATTAATTCACGAAAATTAGTGACAATCTTAAGCATGGAAGAAAAAAACAATAGGAGTTCCATCCATAATTGTTGAACTCCCTATGCTATAGGTATATGTCTCATTTATATAGAACCTTTTTTAAAAAATTGGGTTTTAGTGGTTTGCTATTCTCCTAATTGCATGACTTCCATTATTTGGACAGATTCTTATACTTCAATAGATTTCATATTTTCTTCCATATCTAGACTAACAATTAGGCTGCTTAGAGCATCCCAATGGCCTCTCAAATGGGCTTGAACTCAAAATACAGCAAGTGGATGAAAATAAGGCACTCCAATGACCTCTCAAAAGGCCTCTCATGTTTTGAGATTCTCAAATGTATTCTCAAATATAGCAGCAGCTCTCAAATGGCCTCTCAAACTCAAACTATAGCAAGTGGATGAGCATAGGCACTCCAATGCACTCTCTCAAAAGACCTCTCATGCTTTGAGATTGTCAAAAGTTGCTAAAATGAAAATAAGGCACTCCAATGGGCTCTCAAAACATGGAATGATTGTTGTGTCAAAAAATAGCATTTTGGATGAAATACACCATTGGAGCATAATTGCAAAAATATAGCATTTTGACATTGTAGCTCCTCTCAAAATATAGATTTGACATGGAAATATAGCATTTTGCATTGGAGATGCTCTTACCTATCCTTATGAATCATAAATAAACATCAATTATTGCCACCATCACTTAAATGACCCAATAGGCATAGTTTACCTATTCTTATGTATCAATTAATGACCCAAATTCCATGCACTGTTGCTGATAGGATCGAAAAAATTCAAAAGGATTTTTGGGGTGGAAGAGGTGATGAATTTAAGTATCACCTTGTCAATTGGGAACAAGTTTGCAAGCCAATGAAGTTTGGTGGTCTTGGTATCAGAAGACTGGTCCCTTTTAACCAAGCTCTTTTGGGTAAATGGCTGTGGAGGTATGGAAGGGAAAGGCATCGCCCGTGGCGACGGTTAGTTTCATGCCGATATGGGGAAGAGAGTGGTGGTTGGTCTACTCGTCCGGTTTCTCTAGTGGGAGGAGTTGGGGCGTCGAAATTCATAAGGAAGGGATGGGATGCTTTTTCTACTCATATCAGATTCAAAGTTCGTGATGGCAGATGTGTACGCTTTTGGGAGGATCTTTGGTGTGGAGACTAGCCTTTATCTCATTTATTTCCCAAGTTATACAGTATTGCAGTTGATAGACTTGCCTACGTAGCCAACTGTTATCAACTTGATAGTAGAAGGATTACGTGGGACATGCAATTTCGACGCTCTTTTCAGGATTGGGAGGTGGATGACGTATGTGTTTTCATGGATTTGTTGTATCGACAGGAGGCAGTTGGCAGAGGTAGTGATGTTATGACATGGATTCCCTCTTCCCATGGTCGCTTTGAAGTTAGTTCCTTATTCTTATGTCTTTCTGATTTCGTTATTGTTGATTTTCCATGGAAGCCTATTTAGCGTTCTATAGCTCTAACTAGAGTGGCATTCTTTGTTTGGACCGTTGTTTGGGGTAAGATCCTTACGATTGATAATATAAGGAAAAGGGGCAATTGTCTTGTTAATTGGTGTTGTTTGTGCAAACAAGATAGTGAGTCAGTTGCTCACATTCTCATGCATTGTCCTATAGCGAGGGATTGTTGGAATCTTATCTTTTGTCTGTTTGATATGCATTGGGTTATGCCTTGTTATCCTAAGGATTTGATTTGTATATTGAGAGGATGCCGTGTGAGTAGCATTGTTCGCGATTATTGGAGAGTTGTACTACATTGTGTTTGGTGGTGCATTTGAAAGGAAAGGAATAGTAGAATGTTCGAAGGGAAAGAAACTTCACATCATATGCTCTCTTTTCAATTATGTGAAGAGGAAGTCCTGTTCTTCTACCGAAGATTTAATTACTTTTTTGGCTTCTTTGGGATCTTAATCCCTAGTTCCACTTTTGCATAAGGGATGCGTTCCCCTCTTGAACGCCTTTTTTATTTCAATTATTACTTATCAAAAAAAAAATTAATGACCCAATTAGGTTATAGACTAATGCATTCACTTGACCAGATCATTGGCAAAATCAGTTTTCAAGAAAATGATTTTCACGTATACAACATCTTGTCATATATCAGTATATATAAAGATTAAAGACAACAAAATTAATTGAATTTTTTAGAATCCGGGATTGAAAAGTTAGATTAGATACCTTGTAGATATTAAAACAAAAAGAAAACAATCAAAGGCCAAAGCAAGTATGTTGTCTCCTAAGATTATAAGATTATTCATCCATAAAGCAGTTTCTGCTCTCAGGAAAAAACATGATAACATAGAATCTTTTAGAGCCATACCGTTTTCCAACTATCAGGATCTACACATGCAGTAATCTTGGTGCTGATACCAGGTAAGGGTCCAGGTTCTCGGGTAATCTTCCCACCATAGAGCTTAATTGCTTCCGCAGTTTTATAGACATCATCTGTGCCTATTGCTATCTGTTAAGAAGCAATATAAATCAGTCACCTTATTTGGTCCCTCAAGAAGGCCCGTTGTGGTTCAAAACCAATATATTGTTCCATAAAGTAATGTGTACAGACTACAGATTGAGGGGAAAGGAAAAGGAGGAAATTTACCTGAGCATAACCATTTCCTTTGTCATACTCAGTGACCCCATAGTTGTAAGTCAACTCCAGCACAACATTTTTATCTTCAGGGCCGTAGCCCATCATTGCTATCGTATACTGAAAAAGGACCACAAGATTACATCAGCGCAACAGATGCACAAACCTATCACCTGCCTTTAAAAAAAAATTTAAAAAAAAAGCTCCCATGACAGAACTTCAATGATCATAATAGGCATAGAGAAACTTACGGTTCTAGAAAATCTGTGGCAGAAGGAATTAACCTTATACTCAGGAAAATGTCAAATTACCTTGTATTCAGGGTTGTCTCGTTTTCGAAGAAGCTCCATGCCAAAAGCCTAAATGACAACAGGAAAGAAGGATGGATTCAGAGCTTTATACAAGATGTACAACAGTATAAGCAAAAGTAAACAACAAATGAGCAATGAAAGCTGTAAATCATGCGAGATATAGCAATGGCACCATAATTATGTTGACAAGTATAGCATTTACCATCTTGCTGGAGCAATTCTCACCTTCTCATAAAAATTTATAGAACGATCAAGATCACCAACTCGAAGCATCAATTGACACAGTGGCTCAGGGGTAGGTCCTCTTTCCAGAAGTTCAAACTTATAACCATCGGGATCTTCAACAAACGCAATTACTGTACTGCCACCTTTGACAGGACCGGGTTCCCGGGTGACTTTGCCGCCCTTGGCCTTTATGAGATCCACGGTCTTTGCAACCTATACAACCACAAAGTTTGTTACAGTGTCATGATTACAGGGTGAGAAATGTGATGAAGTGCGTGCTAATGTCCAAAAGGATAGTTACATGGCCAAAAAAAATATGCATTCAGATTAATCTATGCCACAAAGAAAAAGGGAAACAGACACAACATCAAACTGGGCACAGAGGAGAAGAATTACAAGTCCATTAAAAATTGATTTATTATTTTCGAGTCTAAGAATCAAAAGTCCCCCAACAAAAAATATAAATAAATAATAATAATAAATTATTATTATTTTTCTTTTTTTCTTTTTTAAAAAAGTGTCTTTTCCCAACTACTCGGGGTTGGGGGCAGCTATTTTTGCATTCTGCTCTACTAAGACCATAGCCTCTGTTAAACCCCACGTCATGTCTTTGTTCTCTAGCTCAACCATGTTAATTTTTGTATTCCACCTTCCCCTAGCATTACCCTTATTGTATGCAGACACTAATGAGCCACGTGGTATACACACTTATCGTAGGCATAGAGGATATATTTTTTTTTTTCCTGTAAGTAGGCATAGAGGACAATTTAAGGATTTATTTTATATTTTATACTTTATTTTACTTATTTCTTTAGCCAATTTTTTTTTTTTTGGCTTACTGATGAACTAGCTGACCACAAAACTGGGCCAAGTTTGGTCTAGTTCTAGACCTAGGTTAGTCATATGCTTGTATCCAAACACGGGAAATATGAAGCTATGTTTATAAACCTAGGCCCTCTTCAAATCACACATCAGTGTACTCAAGGCTTCTGAACGTCCAAACAAGGTAAATATTTCTTTTGGGTTTTATTTTCAGTAGTAGAGTTTAATTAGGGTACTACGTTGATGCTTTATATATGTGGCTTGCGACATTGAGTATAGACACTTTTGATCATTATTGACTATTGATTACACAGATTACACAGAAATTCTTCTTCTTCTCTCTCATTCCGCATCACCATTTCACTCAACCTAATTAGTGCACTTGTTGGTCTTCATTGCACATGTCCTAATCATCTTAATTGATTTTATCTCATTGTATCTCCAACGGGTGCTACTTCAACCATCACACGAGTCAAATTTACACATATATAACCAAAAACTTATATGAAAAATAATGAACTTGTGAGTCACAAGGTGAAATGGGGTCATTGTATTGATCTACTACAATTAGAGAATACATGCACCAACAAGAAGAATTTCAACTGAGACTTACATCCTCAACTGCAATACCAAAATGGCCAAAACCAGATCCAATATCATACTTGTCAACTCCATAATCTGCAAATGGAAGAAATAAATAAATAAAGTAAAATGCATATTTGAGTATTATAGAGGAAACTCCATACAAGATTCTAAGAAATGGTATTCATATCAAGAATTTCTCAAATGACTTACTGTAAGTGAGTTCAATAACAAAGTGAGAATCTTCTGGACCATATCCAAGAAATGCATTTGTGTATCTCTCCTCTGGTATGTCACGTTTCCGCAGAAGCTTCATCCCAAGGCACTCCGTGTAAAATCTGCAGCCATCAATCAGAATCTAATCAAAACATGATCGCCATTGAAAAGAATAACACATTCCAATAAGACAAAGCAGATCATAGTGTATTGAGGAAATGTACTTTATTGTCCTCTCCAAATCCCCAACACGGTAAACAACATGGAGCATTCTTCTCTTGTCCTTTTTGACCCACTCTAGGGCATTTTCTTGGGTAGTGGCAGTGCTTGCATGTGCAATGTTTCCAGCTGTGCCGACTGACATTCCATGTCCCTCTCCTCTTAACAACTTAGAAGCCTTTAGGCCAAAAAACTGTGACTGTGGGACCGCTGGATAAATATAATAAAAAAGAACGTGTGGTAAAATTAAACAATGTATCCATCTTATGAATCCACCACTATTTTAAAATTCCAAAGCAAGAGGTCAGACCCTAGGACATCCATATACATGAGATTTATTCAGTTATACCTCATCCTTTGATTATTACACCTCGAAACTAGAATCTTAAAACTAACAAAATTTTATTCTTACTCGAGAATCAATCAAGATAAAAGCATAAAACACAAATGACTTGACCATCGGCAATTTGAGCTTAGTATTTCTTTGGTTATTGGTTCAAGAACAATTAACCCTAATCAAGCATGATTACTGTAGTTTTAATTGAGCTCAAGTTCATCCAAAAGCCTAGCCAACTGTGCTCATCAACCTAGTTGAGAATATTAGATTGGAACATAAAGCACAGTAGCTCTAACATTTCAAATTGATGCCGTAGAATGCCCGGAGAGTTGGTGGAACTCGATTACTAGACTTGCTATATGTATATTATTTGGAAAAAGAATAGCTAACAATCAACAAAACTTCTCAATTAGCACTTGAAGGACTCATGTAATTCTTTACTAAATTTATCTTACACCCAACCAATTTCTAAAGCATTTATCATTCAGCGAATCTGTTAATAGGTTGTGTTATTGTATTTGGCAGAAACATTATTAACTAGAAAATATGATTATCTGAATTCAGCTTCAAGTCCAAAGCTCAAAACTCAAGGCTTTCTTATTTAGGAAGATGAACATACTTACTGAACTGAAAGCTCGAGCGAGATGAAAGTCGCGTAGTGTAAGGTGAATCTCAAGTGTAAAATTTGCAGCTCATGTTTTTCAAACTTTGAACCAAGTGCAAAGTGAGATAAAGATAACACAGTGGACCAGTTCAACTTCAATGGCATGCCCAAATACACACTTAATTAGCATCACCAATTTTAGCTCTTGAAATGATAGATAAATATCAGTTACACTGGGATATAAACTGATCAAGAACAAAAATGGGAAAGAAGGGGAAAAAAAAAAAAAAAAAGAGCTGAAACCCCAACACCCGGCTAATTGGCAGTGCTTGGAGAGGTGGACTAGATACAGATATACCATTTTCCATTCTTTTGCACAAAAACTAAAAGGATATCTATGTCTGGAGTGCAAGTAAGCTTTAGGAGAATGTTGAGGGAGCTTTGTTCTATTACATTTGAGAAAATAACAGTAACTCTACTATTCTTCAACAGAATCTATACTGTACAAGACTAACCGATCACTACTAAAATCAATATCACATTTTAACAAAATACACAATTTTTAAAAGCTTCCATGAAAAAAAATACCTAAAAGGTTATTTGATTATCAAAGTAATTGCAGTGATTTTGTAAACAATTTCGCTTGTTCTATACGAAAAATAAAACAGTAATTATACAATTATCAAACTAACCAGACCTGACTCGAAGACCAAATTTTTCAAAGCAACAGATCTTCGCCCCTACCCCAAAAAGAAACTTAATATATATAATGAAACAAAAGAATCTCTAAAACCTGGTAATGAAGGTATTTGAGGAGAAACTAAAGATTTGCACAATAAAAAACAAAATTTCAGTTAATTGGAATGTAGTGGCTTCAAAATAACATCAGATTTGGATGAATATGAGTCCCGTAAAATAATCCCTCCTAAAATTGGCAAAATTCGTATAGAGAGTATTCCTGAACTCTATCTAATAAAAACAATAAAAGTGAATTTCATGTCCTTTCGCTTCTTAAATCACCTTTCTTACAGAATTTGGGTCCAAGTATATAAATGTATAATTTCCCTGTTTAAAGCTTGTTAACAGCGAATTGTACATCGGAAGAGTAAGTATAAAATTCTAGGGTTTAAAGACTATTTGAGTATTGATATGAATGAACAGAGTCTAACCACTGCCGATATGAGAGAAACTGTAATTATACAATTATCAAACTAACCAGACCTGACTCGAAAACCAAAATTTTCAAAGCAACAGATCTTCGCCCCTACCCCAAAAAGAAACTTAGTATATATAATGAAACAAAAGAATCTCTAAAACCTGGTAATGAAGGTATTTGAGGAGAAACTAAAGATTTGCACAATAAAAAACAAAATTTCAGTTAATTGGAATGTAGTGGCTTCAAAATAACATCAGATTTGGATGAATATGAGTCCCATAAAATAATCCCTCCTAAAATTGGCAAAATTCGTATAGAGAGAATTCCTGAACTCTATCTAATAAAAACAATAAAAATGAATTTCATGTCCTTTCGCTTCTTAAATCACCTTTCTTACAGAATTTGGGTCCATATATATAAATGTATAATTTCCCTGTTTAAAGCTTGTTAGCAGCGAATTGTACATCGGAAGAGTAAGTATAAAATTCTAGGGTTTAAAGACTATTTGAGTATTGATATGAATGAGCAGAGTCTTACCACTGCCGAGATGAGAGAAACTGATCCTCCGAGAGGGGCTACACGAGGAGAGAGAAACACCCAAGCGAGAGATACCTGAAAATCTGAAAGAGGAGAGAGGACGAATGGACGACGCCATAGGTATAATCCTCACCATCTATCGCCACTATACACTCACTTTTCTATCTCTATGTATGTTTATATATATCTATCGATGATATATGTGTAGAGAGAGAAGGACTCCTGGTTCCGACAAACTTCCACCCTGTTCTTAATCGAATGAGAATAAAGAGGGTTGGGTTTTGATTTGATACCAAAAGCTTTGAGAAGCAGTGAAATGAATTTAGCTGAAGAGGTTCTTTGATTCCGATGCCGTACGATTGAAGAGCGTCACGAGTGTTCACTTTACGCCTGTTTGGTTTTCAGGTTTATGATATCCGTACAGCGGTTAGGATTTCATGGCATTCAAGATATTGGATTTGTTTGACACCACATATTTTCACATATTCAAGATATGGGCCTGTTTGGGGAGCTTCCTGCACCCCCAAAACGGGTTTCCAAACAAAAGAAGTCCTTTTATGAAAAAAAAAAAATGACCGTTTGGGGACTTTTTTAAAATTATCTCACTTTGAAAGCTCGTTTAACCAAAGCTACCTAGAGTTGCTTTCTGAAACATCTTCCCACAAAACTAGGAATTACCCAATCTGTCAGGAAGAGTTTGGGTTGGGGGTTTACAGGGTGTTATTATACATTTTGAACAAGACATATATTTTGTTTAATTCCCAATCTGTCTCATTTAGTTTTAAATATATCTATATAAATAAATTTATTTGATATATAAGTTTTTGTTCTTTTCTCTATGCTGTAGATTTGTAAATTCAGAGTTATAGTAATTTTTATTATTATTGATGTTTAACATTTGTTTATATTTTAAAATATTATATTTAATTTGTTTAAAATTAAATTTAAGTATTTAAATTATGCACTCCACCAATTGTAAACGAGACGGGTTGGGTTTTGGAAAATAATTTTGTTACATAGAACGGGTTTGGAATAGGTTTTTCTATCTCAGCCCTTGATGAAAATTTATTCACAATTTCAAACATCAATACTGTAATAGGCCCAAAGAGTTAGGTTTTACCGTTTTAGCCTGCCACATCAGCCCCATCCAAGTTTCATTCCGAGGCTGCATTTGGGCCAATTTAAAAGCTCGAGATACATTACAAATTTGAAGGGGTTCACATTCAAGGGCTAGTTTTGACATTATAAATAGATAGGCCCATGATTGGGCCAATCTGTTCTTCTTTTTTTTTTTTTTTTGTCATATATATGGAGTTGCATTAATTCATCATCTTTGCTGTTTTGGAAGGGTTTCACAACCATTTTCTTTTTTGAGCTTTAGGCAGTGTTTGGAGGTTTAGATTTGGACAAGGCAAAAATACTCAGATTGACCCAACTGCATGTGATCTCCAGACATCGATCATTACCTTTTTTTTCTTCATATATATGAAGATACATTGCATCTATCATAAGAAGAAATAAGGCTAGCTATGCTTTTTCCCTTTGAGCATGTGACTGGTTTTGTCTACTTAGAGGATAATATAGACAGCCTATTACATTCTCAGAACCCAAAAAAGATTTTAACCATTTTTGTTGAATTTCATTTCATTCTCTTGTTCAAAATGTGCTCTGCAAATTAATTGATTTCCATCAAAATAATAATAATAATAATAATAATAATTTGCTCCAACTGATGAAATATTCAAAATGCAACTTATGCATGTTATTTCAATTTTTCATACGTTACAGCATAATCATTTTATATGAAGACTTGAAATCACAGTGGTGCAGATATTATGGCACTAAGCACCCCACGAGATGGAGTCCATGTCATCCCAAATCTTATAATGAATAATGAAATTAATTAATTAATTAAAAATGAACCTGTTTAAAAATTCTCTCCATTTGAACTTCGATATCACTCTTTTGAAAGCCCAAACCTCTAAATATATAAAATTTAATTTATAGATAAAAAGGTTATTCAGCCGGTATAAAAGAAAAATAACAAAAATCTTGATCTATTTTATAGATGTACATTTATTATATACTTGAAAATATATTAATAGGAGTCTACTAAAACTATACATAAAGATTGTTCGGAGATGGGTCCAATTATTATTGTGAATTTTTTTTTTTTTTCCTACTTTTATCATGATAAATAACTTCTACAATGATTTCAAAAATAATTAAACCTCCAACTGTTTACTCTAAAAAAACGGGTAAGACATTACTAGACTGGTTCCTTTATTATTTCTTTGAGATGGTGGAAAGAGTTTCAACTGTGATCTTCTAGATGGTCCAAATTAAAAGATGAAGCTCATTTTAGGTTGGAAATGGTGAGCTAAAGGCACTGAGGTGGTCCAATAAAGTTAACCTTGTGATTGCATCTGATGTGAAATCCACCCACCTACATCTATTTCTAATGGGTAGGTGGCATGAAGGTACTCCAGGCCGCAAGCCAACCAAATTTGATTCTTATTTCTTCTACATCCGTTGCGCGTACCCTCACGAGCTTGAAATTTTTCCTTCGTTTTTTTTAAAATAAATTAGTTCAACTAATATTTCCTCTTGGACTGTTGACATATTTTGTTTTATACCAGTCCTTATATATTTTTTTATTATGATAAAGTACAATGACATCCCTTAAAATTTGTCATAAGGACAGATATATATCAATAACACCAAGTTTGAAAAAATTGACAAAGACACCTCCTATAGCCACCTGCCACATACAACACATGCCGAAAAGTTCGCTGGAGAAGGCGCATGAGATTTACGCGCATAATTTCAGGCGGCGCGTGCGAGTGTGTGCGGCCTCTTTTGGGATGTTCTTGCAGCAGTGTGTTCGTTTTGGTCTTGTGGACCTTCTTCTATAATCAAAATGTGATTTTTATCAAGTTTATTTATGCGTTGTTGGTTTGGGTGCTCTATTTTGCACTTATTCCTCGCTCTGATACCACTGTTGGTGGCAGAGATCACTCACAAATCACTTATGGTGATTAGTATAACCCACAGGCTTACATAAGAGAGAGAAACAAACATTCAATTTATTGGAAATAACTCAAAAACAAATACAGAAGAGATTTCTCTCTCTTTTTCTCTGTACCTTTCTTTCTTCTCTTCTCTATATCTAAACAACATATTATGCAATCTATTTATAGGCTTCAAATCCGCGTCCAAAAACATGTAGCAGCTGTCAGGTTGAATTCCACCGGACGATTACTTCACGACACCTTCTATGGTCGGTGGTATTTGTTTCCAGAAGCCTCATGTTGCTTCTTGCAACTTATAGGTTCTTATGGCTTCTAAAGATAATCAAGTTCAATTTCAACAAGAGTGACCAACATGGATGACTCATTTTTGTCATAACACAACCACGCTTGGGTTGCCGGGATAACGAAGAACCAGGTTATCTCACGGCGACACCTGGTGGTCAGAACGTAGCAGGGACCATACAAGTCGCTGCAGGTTGCTTCGGGTGGGGGTTTGTAGCGACACAAAGGCTTGAGAGAGGACAACGACCATTGGGTCACCGTCAATAATGGATTCCAAGTCACCGCAAGTGACATTGGTGAAGGAGAAGAAAGTAGCGACTACGGCGACCTAATGGTGGCCATTAAAGAATCAACATGGGGCTACCCACTTTTTCCATAACGCGACCACACTTGGGTTGCTGGGAAAAAGAAGAAACCAAGTCGCTGTGAGACGACCTAGTGATCGGAGTGTAGCAACAACTATACATGTAACGACCCAAATTCGGGGAATTCAGATTTCTAACCGGGTCTTAACCCAACCCGAGGACATTAAGGGCAAAATGGTCATTATGAACCTTAATATATGTTAGAAGTCATAACAATGGTGTACCAATCATGTTTAACCAAAACGGATCATGAAAGAATGATGACCTCGACTTCGGGCTTACCCTAGGCCATTATGGTTGACAAGGGTAAAATGGTCATTTCTTATCAAAATCATGGAATGAGGCCTACACCATTCGAAAAATGGCTAAAAAATATGCAAGTTAGACTAAAAAATGACCCTATTCGATTTTAAAACGAAGAAATTATGGGCATTTGAAGTTTGGATTAACATAAGTATAGGACCAAACCCCTTTGTGTTCAAGCACAATCCATTTATGCTCGAGCTCAACATTGTACTCAAGCATAAACCACCCTGCATCAGACAGTCCTCGGCAAGGGCCCTGTGCTTGAGCACTGACCTGAAAAATGGCCAAATACTTCTACAAAACTATGGTATTGGTCAAGCAAGTTGTTTGGGCACTTAGATGTATTCTCATGGTTCAAAATTATTCCGAAATATAGTCATACACTTGATACATCGATGAATGAAATTTATACATCAACATTAAATCTTCAATCCAAACTTTTATAGAGTTAAATAGGCATCTTTGGCATTCTAACTTATAATAATGCTAAAATGATCACCATTTATCATTCTCATGCCCCATTACATACAAAAATAGTCCCCAAAGTGTATAGATATGAGTCATGACTTTCAAACTTATTAAATTGAAAATGGTCCAATTAAGTACAAGTTACAAATTTAGACCATTACTGTCGAACTTACAATACTTTACAATAATTTACGTCATCTATGCATTTGATACAAAAGAATAATAAAAGTAAATTTCCATCAACCCTAACTATGTTCGCGAGGGTCCGTCATCTACCACGACTCCGTAATAAACTAAAAAATGTTAATGGAAGGGGTGAGCACAGAGACTCGGTAGAAGACACCAATTTTGGACTCCCTTAAGCCATACATCACGCATTGGGAATAAGAAGAAACCGAAATCATACTTGGGGATTTTATAGCATTTAATTCACAAAATCAATCTCATCATCCATAGTTACACTTTTCAATGCAATATGTATAAAATGCAATGCCATGCACCCTATCCCCAACTTTGGTCTCCACCAACCCTAGCTCACACCGAAAATTGCTAACCGACTTTTATCGAGGCAAGATTGATTAGCTATCTCTGGTTTCTAAACCGATGATCATTTGGGGCCTATTAATCAACTTTACGCATCCTAAACCGACACGCGCTCCCTCTAGGTCAAATTAGTACCGAACTTGTGAAATCCGGTTCACTTCGAAATTCATCTTTCCCGTCTATTCTAAGATAGCCTACTTATCATTCTTTTTCACTCTCCTCGTCGTTCTAAAATGGTCCAACACACTTCTAACTCAATTTCCCCACTATACCGTGCATATGAATCAACTTCTTCAATTTCACTTCAATTTCATTATTACACTAATAATAGCATAAAACATAGCATTCTTTACAATAATACACAATT